TTGGGCCCCACCTTCTGCTGCATTCTGATATTGTAAAATCTGTAATCTCATTTGGCATTTGTAATAAATGCTCTATACACACACACACCCTCTTTATTATTTAACATGCTGCAGAACAGAGCTGCAAATGTGCTTCAGGTTCACATGAACCGAATTGTTCATCAGTTTCAGTATTTAAGAGCACATAAGTGTATTTATGTATATAAAGGAATTTATGTGATCTAAATACGTAATAAATTGCATATTTTTATTAATTACCAATTTGTTTGAATTCATGGGTCCCGAAGGGTTTTCCGGGTTTTATACTTAAGCGTCCTCTAGTAACGGCTATTAGCCTTATCCTTGTCAGAATAACATTTCGGCTCCAAAATGTGGTTTACAAATTTTACCCACCACCACCCCTTCAATCCTCCATAATTATTGTTATTGTAGAAAATACATGTACTAGTTTCTTTTATATAAGGTGCCTATTGTTATTGCATGACTTTTGTTATTGTAGAAAATAGATGTACTAGTTTCTTTTGTTTAAGGTACTTATTGTTAATTTTGTAGAAAATATATGTACTAGTTTTCTTTTGTATAAGGTGTGGGATGTTTTTGGGCCCCACCTTCTGCTGCATTCTGATATTGTAAAATCTGTAATCTCATTTGGCATTTGTAATAAATGCTCTATACACACACACACCCTCTTTATTATTTAACATGCTGCAGAACAGAGCTGCAAATGTGCTTCAGGTTCCCATGAACCGAATTGTTCATCAGTTTCAGTATTTAAGAGCACATAATATTCATATTGGAGGCGGGGGTATAATGTAGTGAGCTCATTGCTCATGGTACCTCTATTTTTAAATAAAACCAAGAAATAGTCAAAAAATAAAGCTGTTTTTACAATACATTATGGAAATATGAATTAGTCATTTGATTGAGAAAACACTATAATAAATCAAGGTCTATTATAAGATGTAAAATAACCGAAATATTTTCTTTGGAAAACTACATTATTGTTACAACAAAAATATCGTATAGTTTGACACGGGGAGTGTTGAAGTGTCTTAGCTTTGTAAACGTATTGTTAACTTTTTTATCTTTAAGCTGGATCATCACATGACTTTCTCTCCAAAATTTAGGTCAGTACCTTCTGTCCTCATACCTCTGAAATGTACTTGAAATATTTCTTTCGGACTGAAAAAATTTCCAACACTATGGACATTGTCATTTCATCCACAGGGAAAGGCTGTCCCTAGTTTTCAAATCTAAAATTCTTCTCGTTGTCCTCGGAAAGGTGAACTCATTGAAGGGCTATTTGTGTGGTAATAAATCTTTTCGAAAATTCTAACTTTCATTGACAAAATAAAATGATCAGGTAAATTAAAATGTTTGTGTAAAAGCTGCTGACCCCCATGATTTAATTGAAATCGATGACCTGATATTCTTTTATTAATTATCCCTTGGTTTCACCAACATAAACAAGTCCACACTGAGTACATTCTATTCCGTAGACAACATTAGAAGATTTGCAGTTCAGATTTTCCCAAGTTTTGGAATAGAAGATCTATTATCAAATCGTAAACGCCATTTTGATTTTTATTGTTTCAGTCGACTTTAAAGTTTGAATACTCTTCGTTATCCTTCTGTATTCAATAATCCAGAGGTGAAAAAAAGAATTAGATAGATTACATGATCTGTACGTACTGGTCCCTGCTGGTAAAACAGATAACAACATTGTCTTCGTTTGTAAGGCTCGTTATATTAATTGTGTTTTAGGAGAAGCTGGATTTAAATCTACAAGTGGTTATCCAATTAAACACTCATAGTTCTCTTTCTAAGGAAGATATTCTTCAAAATCATCAGCAGTTTTGAATATTTTTAATATTCCAAACAACCAACATGAAATTGAACAACCTTATCTATACTGGATTCCGAAACTTCATAAACATCCATACGAATAACTCTATATATAAATCAAGTGTGGCAGACTCTGTAATGTCATTGACTAGTATCTCAAATTCACAGGGATACATCGAGTCAACATAGGAATAAAAATAACTATTGTTAAATGAAAAAAGAAATCATCATCGATAAATCTGAATATACAATTTAAGGTCACTTTTCCTCTACTCTTGAAGAAGGGTTTGAATAAAAAGATTTATTTTTTTGATTACCGAGAAGTTTACGTATAAAAATACAATATTTAGGTCTAATTATTTATTTCCTGATTAAATACTCAGATAGACCTAACATATTGTTTTGTTCTTCTTTAATGCAAAAAACAACAACAATAAACAAACAATAAACTTTTTACAACGTAATCATCGATGGCGTTCTCAGATCCTTATTGATCAAAGAGGAACAACCCTGAAAATGTAGGACATATGTTTGTTTTCCTCCCTTTATTCAATGTTTTCCGCATACACAGAATGAGAGACCTGATAAATGAGATAATGCATTGAATACCGTATACCTAATACACACTATGTAAGTATAGAAATTGGAAAAGGATTGTTTACTAGTGGTAGTACTGAAATTATCTGAATTTATGAATATCCCAATGCAGCGAATCGTTTGACTTTCTGTCACTGCCAACAATGTCGGTTCGCATTTTCTCGAATCAAAACAAAACCTATCAATGTACGCATAAATATTAATTAAGGTAGGTCGGTACTTTCAAACTTTTCCGTCAAACTGATAATATTTTGATTTGAATACCTTGAATAAGTCATAAACTAACTAAAACACCCATGAAAGACATCTTTGCGGGTTAATTTTCATGCAACACGTCTCGGAGTACATACCTCTAAAAATTCAATGGACAAAATTGAACATCAAGATGTGTGACATCATATTTTATTTAGCTTTTTACCAAAGTCTTTATTGGATAACATTAACAAATTTATGATGAATCTGTCCACGTCTTTCAGAAAAACATCTCAAAATATATTTATTTTTTATAATTCTCAAAATCTAAACTGTTAAGATGCCATTTTTTCTATAAAACTATTAAGAATTATATCCAAAGTGAACTAAAACATAAACTTTATGAAGATTGACTAGAGAAATTAAACAAAACAAACTTTTGAACACGTATACCCCCTTTTTTGAAATATCAATTTTTTCAATCATTCTTTGCAAAATTTGAAAAAAAGTAAAACTTAAAATGATGATATAGACTCAAAATCAAGAAAAATAGATATCAAGCTAGTTTGTTTAAAAAAAAAATAAAAAGCTTTAGGTCCATTAAAGGAATTAAGAATTGTGTGTCAGTGTATGTACTAAATGACATGTAGATCCTATGGACAGAGTGCAAAGTGTTAATTTCCAGAAGTAATGTATATTAAATGTTTTGTATGCATATTGACACTATGATAAACAAATATAAACTCGCAAAATTATTTTCAGTCATCCAAAAAGATTGTATGTCAATAGACAAGTGATAATCAGAATTTTATATTGATGTGTAAAATTAAAACCGGATCCGTAAAAGTATGGACCTTCCTTAAAATAGATGAAGAGTTTTATGTTTGATATTTTGAAGTTAATGTGGACGAATTTGGAATTTTCAATTTTTCTTTAGAAACAACGAAATTGAAAGAATACATACAATATCCTGAGAGGTGTACACATGATGCATATGTATTCCCACGGCACACAGTGTCTTGTTTGAAATAATGACATATAAGAAAATATAATTATTCCACTCACAGAAAAGTTGAACATACACCATTGTGTTTTTTTTAGATAAATAGAATTAAAATTCTAAATGTCTTCAACATAAGTTGAATTCGTATCCAGGTATCCTATGATATTGAATGCATAAGTCATTCATATATGGACAAAACATTGAATGGACATAAAATCCTCGAGAAAATTTTTCTTCAAACATAAAAACCAGTAGTCGATGTTTATTCTGCATTCATGAATTAACAAACTAGTGTGTACCTCAGGGATTTTATGAATTGTGTCTGTACTGTAACAGACGTTTCGTCAAACGCGAACAGTCTGCGACGCAAAAAAAAAGAAAGAAAGGAAAGGCATTGGGGTGTTTGAAGGGGATAACAAAAATTGCCAGAAAGTCAATTTAAATATGCTTTACATTTGAGAACTTTAAAAAATGTAATTAAATATATTTTTAAAGCAAAAGCAATATTCCAATTTGATTACGATGCGATTCCCTTACGATTTTGTCAAAAATGTGCATACACACAGTAGATATATGTATTTTAAAAAAAACAAAAATAGCGAAAATTTAAGAAAAGGAATTTTTTGGGGATGGGTGTGTTGTACATCCTTAAGGAACACAATTAACATTGATACACAAATTATATACTCAAAACATAAAAGTTGTGTCCTCCTGTGGTCCCCAGTGTCTGACTCCCTAATATATTTTGAAAACGAACTTGGTTTCGGAAGACACAATTGTTTATGATTTCGTTGAGAGTCAAGATTTTAGTTCTAATTGTAACCCACAGGTAGAGGACTTCCACTTTGTCGTATTTTCGTGCTCTAGTTATGATCATATTTGCCTTAAGGTTTTATGACAAAAACTTAATTTTTGGGGACTCCGTGACCTTTTGAGAGATTGGGTGTGTGTGTCAGAGGGCTGAGTTCTATTATGGATGGCAATTTTTTTATTAAGGAGATGGACTAATGCTCACACGCCTAGCGTAATCTATTTAGTTCCTTATGGTGTCACATGGACTCAGCAAACAGTTTTGCGCTGACTATATAACGGTCAAAGATCCTCCTTTCACATAATTCACCATAATTTAAACGGAATATGGGATAAAGAGTATGGATGTTTAACTTATAACATGATTGAATGCTCCTAAAAACTAAAGTTTACTGATACCTATACCAAAATGTATACATGATAATCACTAGTGCGGACTTTGGTCAAACATAAAAACATAGAAGCCTCAAGACGGACTTGTTTACTAAGCTAAGGTCAAAGCACTGCATATATCTGTCAGGCAATTCTTACAACTTGTAAAAAAAAAGAGTTATTGTCGCAACGACCTAGATAATGTGTACCGTGTCACGTAAACTCATTCACAGAGGGGATACTGCAGCTTAACGACTAACTACAATGGATGGCACACATGTAATAGAACTTGAATGGCCCAGTTATGGAGAAATGTACCTGCCCAAGCTTGTGTCATTCTCAAAAGACGCGGAACATGCACTGAAATACATCAGGGACATGAAACTAGGAGAAGATGCAATTATTCTGGCAACCTTTCCAAGATCAGGTCTGTAATAACCTCACTTAAGTTGAGTACATTCATATTATTAATTATTAAATACATGAAGTTCATGGATTTAATTACGCTATCATAAAAACACCCCTAAAATATGGAAAAATTATCAAAGTACATTTATGATTTGTATCATAATTTTCTTAACAATGCATTCTTTTAAAAAGGAAATAGGTAATTTTACTTGAAAAAAACATTGGCTGTGGCCTTTAGGTGGCAGAAGATAGTTTTTTTTTGCAATCAAAACGTTTGACTGACGGTTTACTTAATATTGAGCTGCTTTAAAAATGTGCATTGAAAAATTTTTAATTCCCTCTACATGTAATAACAGTATGATGTAGTCCCTTGAGAAAATTGAAGCTTTTAGGAATAAAACATGTACAACTTACACAATGAGCCCTAAAGATGGCGCAGGGACAATCTCAAAATTTCATGTGAATCAAGCCTATTTTCACTATTTCGCCGCAGCCGCATCTGCTTCCAGGCCCGTGCGCCTGACCTAAGCTACCACACAAATTGCAGAATAACATTTGTACATACCAATGAACAGCAAGAGATAATGGCTCAACCACCTCGTTTTCAAGCTACAATTCATCCTGTGAACCCACCCTGCTTTTCTGGTGAAATACCGGTAGAGCCAGTTTTGAGCTTAGTTTCGTATTTCTAGTCCATATCCCATATACAGTAGTAGTGACACTAAAGTGTCATATTTCAATAAAATATACAAGGCCACCAGTTCCCTCCAAATGCACCCATAAAATATTCTAGCTATAAAATTACCTATAATATGCATTCACACCTCAGGTTTCTCTATTTTTTTCTATTTTTTGACCGGTACTTTATTCGAAACTATCCTCTGCCACCTTTAACTTTTAAAGTTTGTCTTGCAAGTAATAAACCTTGCTTAATTCAAAAAGAACATGCAATTCTGAGTAAAAATATACCAAATATGTCTTGATTCATTGAAAAATAAAAAAGTTATTGCCAAATAAGAGACCTCACCAATTCTAGGTCAACCACCTTAACCCCATATTGTTTCTTACACATAAAACAAATGCAATTCTTACAACTCCAGATGATAAATATACCAGCAAAAAGTGTTAAATGGTAATTTTAATCTATTTCAAATACATTTATATGTAAAAATTCAAATATAAAGGGCACATCTTGGTGAAATGTACTCACATGTATCACATACTCCCCTATTTTTCATGTTCTATGAAATTCCATCTTATCTCTTTTTCACTTGGTTTTATATACCTATAACTTCTTTGCAAAGTTAAAACCCCTTTCAACTTTCAAGATATTTATCATGATATGCAAAAAATCCTCTTGCATCATATGCTTAAGAAAAAGTGTCCAGGAAATGGCTGTTCAACACCCTACCCCTGCAGCCATTTCTTCAGTGTAATGAAAATGCACTGTAAAATTTTGTTTGTCCTAGCTGAATTCTTTCTAAGTGTCTGATATTCACTTTTAACAGTTATGAGTAATCAAATACATACATTTCATTCTCCTGAATACTAAAAGAGATTATTCTGTCCATCCTGGGCAATTGTGGGCAGATTATATGGGCCTAGCAGAATTCAATAATTACATGAGAATGCACATTTTATTGATATTACTTCATTAAATATGCAATATAAACTCTTTTTTTTTTTGTTATTATTCAAAGAAAAATAGTCATTTTATAGCAAACCATTGAAAAATTTAGATTCTGTCACATTTAAATATAGATAAATTTAAAAATTGAAAAGGGGGGGGGCATATTTCATGAAAATATCAATAACAGAATATGTTAAATTTGGAAAAATAAAGCAAAAAAAGTTTTTTCTGGTACTATATATGGTTAGGTTTAGTGACATTTAGGTATGCTGACTGATTTTTATTTTCAAAATAATTATATTTAGTAAATTAGGTTGAAAAAATGGCAAATATATGTAATTTCCGTGATATCGCACTAATTAATACACTTAAATTTTAATTAGATTTAATTAATCAAAGCAAGACATGATTTTAATTATGCGACAATACCCAAAGTATCAAATTCAAACAATTAATTTATTCTCTGGCAAAAAATGCCTGAATCTTATATGATTTATTATGCTGATGGTTCAAAGTCTTTAAAAATGTATGTTGGAAAAGAGTAACCCCCCTTGCTTTTTAGTGAATATACCTAACTGTACAGATTTTAAATAACAGAAACAAAGTATTTTTTAAATTGACTTACATAAATAAACCTTTTTGTATAAAAATCAGACTAAAATTCACATTTCTAAAAATTGATGCATTCTTGAAGGTGGCAGAGGATAGTTTTTTTTGCAATCAAAACGTTTGACTGACGGTTTACTTAATATTGAGCTGCTTTAAAAATGTGCATTGAAAAATTTTAAATTCCCTCTACATGTAATAACAGTATGATATAGTCCCTTGAGAAATTTGAAGCTTTTAGGAATAAAACATTTACAACTTACACAATGAGCCCTAAAGATGGCGCAGGGACAATCTCAAAATTTCATGTGAATCAAGCCTATTTTCACTATTTCGCCGCAGTCGCATCTGCTTCCAGGCCCGTGCGCCTGACCTAAGCTACCACACAAATTGCAGAATAACATTTGTACATACCAATGAACAGCAAGAGATAATGGGCTCAACCACCTCGTTTTCAAGCTACAATTCATCCTGTGAACCCACCCTGCTTTTCTGGTGAAATACCGGTAGAGCGAGTTTTGAGCTTAGTTTCGTATTTCTAGTCCATATCCCATATACAGTAGTAGTGACACTAAAGTGTCATATTTCAATAAAATATACAAGGCCACCAGTTCCCTCCAAATGCACCCATAAAATATTCTAGCTATAAAATTATCTATAATATGCATTCACACCTCAGGTTTCTCCATTTTTTTCTATTTTTTGACCGTACTTTATTCGAAACTATCCTCTGCCACCTTAACTCGACATCTAGATATATCGACGAAATATTGTTAATTAACAACGGTTGTTTCCATTCTTGTGTCGATTAGATATATCCTGGTGAGTTTGATATAAAAGATACCACAGAGTCTGACACATCTGTTTCATATTGGGATATTTTACTCGAAAAAGACGTTAATGAAAATTCAACAACCCTGATAAACCCAATGACTTTAACTTTTCAATCGTCAACTTCCCAACTTATGTAATGGATATATGCCGAATGCTGTTCTATATGAAAAATTATCAGACTGTTTGAGGCCCGTTAGGGCCGAAAACTGTCTGATAATTTTACATATAGAACAGTATTCGGCATATATCTTTCTTAAAACTGTCCAGAAGTTACCTGGAGGAGTCCGATAATAACACAATAGGAGTTCAGGCATCCATTGTTTCCTTCCCGTCTAATAAGTAGGTAAAAGGAATGAGGCAATAGAAACAGTGAGTGAACTCTTTCATTTCATTCATTCAATGACAGTCGTTTAGCTAAGCAGGACAGGTGTCCGGTGGTGAAGGATTTTTTTTTATTATTTTGGAACATTTTTATTTATTATGTGCATAAATTGACATTGACACAGACATAATTTTGGGTAATATTATTACTATCACCATGGAAAGTAAAAATATGCGGATTTTTATCCTTACGTTTTAGTTTATATAGTGGAAATTCTCGGATTTTAGAAGTGCGACCATAGGGGAGCAAACCTAAAATTATCAAATTTTTCCTCAAAAATGGATTTAAATCGCTTATTCAAAGTGTTGTATCAAAAACACTTTATAAGTGGAAAGTGTTAATTTTGAAGAAGGATTAAACTCGATTTTCTTCATGGATTTGCTATTTTCTAGCAACTAAGTTTTTTGCGTTTGCTTTACCTGAAAATTTTCCTAACATTTCTTTTTGTTTCTGGACATATTTAACCTCTATTTCACTCGTTTTCTTGTTTTTTAAATACCTTCCGATTGTGTTATCACTACCGCACTAATATATTATCGGACTGGTAATTATTATTGGACGACTACAGGTAAATTTTTAGACTGCTAGAACAAAGGCATGACGTCACAGCAATGTTTTCATTAGCAATATACCTTCATCACCCGCATGCGGAGTTTATATCTTTTACTGGATTCGATGAACAAGAGCATGCTTTACGAATGTACAATTTCTTAAACAATGTAAATTATTCACCAACAAGGATATCAGCAGCCTCGTTTAAAGTCATCATTTCGTGAGTTCTTTGATCGATACAATGACTTTGTCAGCAAGTATAATTTATCATTTAGTCGAATGCTTACTGACGTTTTCCATACCAACTGTTAATGCGTTATTTACACACTGAATTGATGACAGAGGAGTGACCGACCGGCAATGGATACTCGCATCTCCATGGTACCTGATCCCACCTCTGATATTTTGGAGATTCTTGTTTGCTCTGCTCTTATTTTGTAGTGTGTTTTATGGTTTTTTGATCTTGAATACTGATCGTTATATCCATATATTTCACTAAGAAAAGGAGATGCTCAATAGAATGTCAAAATGAGCTGAACAACATACAACCAAATATTTATCATATTTGATCTGAATTTAAAGCATATGAATCGAGAGTATGTAAATAGAAGACGTCACTTAATTTTTCTTTAAATTCAAATCCTCTGAGGCAGATGAGATGAGGGGATTTCAACAACCATATTTTAAAGACGGCATTTCGTAAATTTGATGGTCGATATAATTACCTTTTTAGCAAATATAAATTAATCAATAATTGTGTCGAATTTTGGCTGATTTGTTTCATACCAAATGTTAGGCCTTAATTTTATACTGTATTTAACTACAGAATTTCCAACCTTTTGCATATATCATAATCCATACTACTTTCTCGTCACATGTTAATTTAAAAAAACTACCGTCACTGTAAAAATTCTTATTCATGTTTGTGTACTTGTTTATTGAAGGAACTCACTGGGTATGGGAGATAATGGGCATGCTTCTGAGGGGAAAAGCCGAGTATTCTACGGTGACTAGGGAACAGGTTTTCGTAGAGGGGTTATCAGACATGAGTCAGATGCAGGGTTATAATGGTGTCATGAGCACCCGTGTTCCTTTTCAATGGCTCCCAAAACAACATGTGGATAAAGGCGGGAAAATAGTATACGTTGTACGTAACCCGAAAGATGTTGCTGTGTCTTTGTTTAAATTTCTTTCTTCTTGTGGATTTTTACCTGGGATGAGTTTTGAGAATTTTTTGGACGAACTTTATATTGGACGAAGTAAGAATTTTAAATAATAGTATTTTTATGGCATTTTTAATTTTTTTTTCAAATATCTCAACCTACATAATATTTAAATCTTGGAAAGATTTTTTTCCTTTTTATTTAGAGGCGATGTACGGGGGATGGTTTGAGTATAATAAAAAGTTTATCGAAGAAGCGACTGTTCGAAAAGATCAAATATTGATGATACAATACGAGAAACTACAAAGAGTAAGTAAATATTATGTAAAAAATCCTCTTAGAGTTTAAAAATGGTACACAAGGACAAATCAATAATCCAAAATATCAGTTTTATTTTTGCATTAACTTTACTTAACCTTAACTTAGTTTTCATTGCGTTGGAAACGGAAGACCTTAATAATCTTAATCATCAGAATTAGTAGAAATTAATATTTTTAGCACTAAACCACTACTTTAGTAAAAAAGAAAAATTGTAAAAAGGGGATATTTTTTATAAAAATAAATATTTTTAAGATCTTTAAAATTGAACATTTTGTGATGACTTTTGTAAGTTTTACAACGGTAGATGCCTACGTTTCCTTGACATCTTAGTCCGTAAGAATGTCATTCCTTGGGGCAAATGTTTAACGATTTCTGGATATTAAAATGGCTTCATATAATGTTTAAAATCATTTCAATTATTAGATTTCCGTTATTTACTTGTTTTGAGCAAAAACGCGAAAATACAGTAGCCGCGAATAAAAAGATGATTCATATGTAAGTATTTGAAAAAAAAAAGAGAACAAGTATTTTAACCAATTAAGTATGTGGGATATAAAAAAAATATTGATTATTTTTGAAACACAATATTACGATGTCATCATTGAAAAAATTAGACATGTAGGCGAGTGTAAGCGGTCAATAGTGAATGCTTACCTCTTTAGATTCTTGATCCAACTTTTGGAATTCCCGAGATCTATGTTTAATGCTCTATTCACTAATTTCCTTCTTTTTGGTATTTTTTATCTAAAGTCAATCAGTGCCCCTGCATTGCCCATATCCTATTTACTCAATATTAATTCGAACAATAAAAAGATTTAAATAACTTAATACTATTTGATATAAAATAATGTATTGAGGAAGATCTGTTTAATCATTTAGAAAATTTTTTTTTTCATAATATGTTATAAAAAAAATTAATGTATTAATGTTTTATATTGTGTCTATCTTTACCTAAGTTAATTACCTTGTATCATTTTTATTTTACCTGTACTCCTCAAAGTACCCCTTTATCATAGTTTGCAGTTAAGTGTAATGTTTTACGTTACGTCATGATCTTTTTCGTCAGATATATCCAGCGTAAATAATTCACGTGATTGGTCAACTCAAATTATCAACATTGACACGGAAATAGTCTGTTGCACCAGCAACAAATCAGGGATAAGAAGAAAGTTCCAGTCGTAAATCTTGCGATTAGGAGGCGTGTACAATTTATCTTGAGCGCAGCTGTTAACTAGATCGTGACGTAACGTGAAACTTTATAGTTAGCTGGAAACTATAATATCACATTTTTTGTTTATTTCTGAAGTTGAAGGAATACACCGGATAACAGGTATTTAAGAAATGAATTTTCATAACGTCCGTTACTCAGTTTGTTTGCATACGTTATTGTAATTGTGATACTACAAATTATGTATGTATTCTTGACTACCTGATTTGTCCGCAAATCTTTGCTGAATTCTTTGGGTTAGCTAATTAATGGAAGAGCCAACGCAATATCTTCACGAGACTTTTCAATTTGAAAATGTGAATTGAATTAAATTTGATGTTGTACTTTCACAGTATTCCACGTTTGTCGTGTCAATATATCAAATTTAAAATTCATATTTTGACCTTTTGATTCTGTTAATTTGCAATCAATTTTTAAGTAAAATACCCCCAATGGAATGTAAATCTCTTTGTCTTAGAGAGACGTTCCAGTAGAACAGAGAAAAACAATTTACAGTGTATCTCCAAAGAGAAAGAGATGTCTCCTGTGATGAAAATATGTGATGAATTGATATGAAATATTTGTGTTCCGTAAATAATCTTATATTTTATGCCATGGTAAAACTTTTTCACAGCCTTATTTCCTTGAAACTTAGATTAAGTTTATAAGTTAAAGTTTTGAAACAATTTAAATGAGAAATGAGAGTTGTTCGTTTAAAAACACAATGTAAAAGCAGCAGTTCTATATAACATTCAATTGTTTTATGATCTTTTGCAAGGGCATTCTAATTTCGTGATGTTGATATCTCCTCATATTAATGTCTATGCTGTGTTGCTTGTATACTTCAAAGAACACAGAAGCAGAGATTCGGAGATTGGCTGACTTTTTGGGAGTTAAAGATGAAAACGGACTAGTCAAAGAGATAACAGAGAAGTGCACCTTTCAAAATCTTCAGCAAGCGGACAAAAGTGTCAGGGAGGATCAAAAGATGGCGGAATTAATGAATGAACTCCAGGTGAAAGAAACTCCTACAGTCTACAGAAAAGGTCTCTTTGTTGTTCTTTTTTTAAACATAAATGACTCTTCTTTTATACGACTTACGTGGTTTTGAAAGCAAAAAATAATGAAAGTAAAATGAAGTATTGTTAAAACTATTTACAAAACAATGGAGAAAGAGAGCATTCTCTGCCGACCGGTAACACCCGCCATGATGCTCCTGTTGAATTGAGAATAAATATAACCATTGACTAACTGCTTTTATAATGCATACATCATGTTTGTTTCGAAAAAGGATTTACATTCTGGTTAAATACATCTAACTAGGCGAAACAGTTTCTGTTCCAAATCAATTTTTCCTTCATCTCAAAAACATTTTAAGGCTTTTTAAAATGCTTTTATAATCGAAATTTTGTTATGAACTCCTGCAAAATAAAATCAAACAAACAAACAAATCCCTAAGAAGTTCAAGAAACACCAAATTTTTAGATTTTTAAAATAAAGATATACCTTTGATTTTCAGGAAAGATAGGAGACTGGAAGAATCACTTCACTGTAGCAATGAATGAAACATTGGACAAAGTATATGCAGAGAAAATGAATGGAGTCGATTATCAAGTAGAATTTGAATAGAACTGGTAGAATTGAAATGGATAATGGCCGTTTATTATATTCATAAATTAACATACAGACAGAGTTGTAAAAAAGCCAATTCGCATGGATGTTCTTACATTCCAGTTATGCACGGAACGTACTTCTATAGGTCTTTTAGTATTTTAAAAAAATAATTTTGATGTTCTAACCTTTATTTTAGTACTAATATGAAATAAATGATATATTAGGACATTTCTAAATTTACAATCTTTTTAAAAGCAATCAGGAAATGGTCTGAAAATAAAAACATGAATTAGTCATTTAACTAAGAAAAAAAACTTTTATAAATCAAGGTGTATTTTAAGACGTAAAATAGCTGTTAACCAATTTATTTTCTTGATAAATTACATATTAATTTGTAAAAAAAAAAATATATCGTATAGTTTGACACGGAGTATCTTAGCTTTGTACACATATTGTTGAAGTTTATTATCTTTAAGCCAGAACATCACATGACTTTCTCTCCCAAATCTAGGTCAGTGCTCTCGATAACTCTGAAATATACCCCACCCCCACCCCCCACCCCCAAAAAAGAAGCAAATTCGGAGCAATATTAATCATTTTAAATTTTTTTTAATTCACAGCAAATTCGGCCTGAAAAGAAAGCAAAAAAAAATTATAAATATTTCAACCTGGTGTCATAACACATTAACAACGGATGTTTTCCCGTACTGTCGCTTTATGGCGTTGTGAATACTATGTTAAAATAAATAATTACTCCAGAAAATGGTTATAGTATTTATTTATATATGAAATACATAAAGAGCTGCTACATTTCGTTTATAATGAATACCAACCACATTTTTGATGTACGATATTATCTAGTTTACGACCTCATTAAGGTATAATTTAATTAGGATATTTTAATTAATGTCATTAAAATTTTTCGTATTCATCACTCTATGCTTTTTTGCACACATAGTATATGCAATAAAGTGTCAAATTAACAGTATAAAGTATTTTTCATACATAGCTTTTTGAACGTAAGTCCGTTGATTGTTTACATCGAGATAACAATATTTATGTGATAAAAATCCTTCGTTTTGCTACAATGGATGTAGTTTTGTATGCAAACTTCCTCAGCCTTTTCAAGACGCACGTAGTACTTTTCACTTACAGAAAACGAGGGTCAAAACACGTTTTGTTTCTTGTAATGAAACTTACTCACAAAATATGGTTCTCGGATTACCGTAGGAATTCAAACGAAGGTGCCTGAAATGATGGAATACGGCCATTAGCAAAAGCCGTGTCTGGGACGTCGACGTCAAATACTTCATCCATGTACTCCCTATTGGCTTTCTCCCTCATTCGGCGTAAAGCCTCTTCTCGTTTCTTGTTCCCCTGAGAGTGCTGGGATGCTTTCATTTGTTTTTATTGCGTTGAGGTGGGGTGTCAAATTGTGACGTCTTTGTTGTTTTTGTTGTTGTCTATATTAGTATTTGGAAGAAGAAGATGGATGAGTTCTTTTTTTGTTGTAACCGGTTGAGGTGCGGGAGGATCATGATTATATATATATTATTTGCATTCATGGCGTCGGAAACTAGCCACGTTGCAATCATTCGGTACACATTTTTCAGT